CGTGTGCTCTTCCAATCTGTCGGTAATTTCTACCTTCCAGCACCTTCGCCTTAATAACGTATCAAAGTCATCAAAGATAAATATATACTACACTGAAAAATTATCAAATTTTTTATTGTCTATACGAAAAAAAAAAATAGTTTTATGAACAAAAATGTGGCTAATCTATAATATCTGTGAAATAATTATGATGCTCCATACCTAGATAATCTATCTAATGTCACTTCTGGAATAATATAGCCAGTAATACGATTGGCTGCAGGAAATAATTGTTCATGCAACATAAGATTATGATTCGTATTAATATGTTGGGGTAATCTTCTTGGACCTAGCGGATCCGATATCATTGGTGCACCTGTAATTGGATCTAAGACATAGAATGGATAAGTTATCCTGTTAGGCATATTGAAAGATACTTTGATATTGAAACTTTGACACGCTTTACTATCAAAGAAAAAATTACGTTTACCTAAGTATTGCGAGTAAAGTTCCCAAGATTTCGGACTTGGAAATATCCTAACAAATCCGCCTCTTCTTTCGAACTGCGCTTTTGCAGACGCTACTATTCGTTGTTGTTCCGAGCTTAAACCTGTTTTACTTTTATTATTTCTATTCTTTCTTCCTTGAAGCAATGTTTCCGCAGATTGTACTCTTCTATACTAAAACAAAAAAACAACAATTATCTATTTGCAATCTACAAATTATTCTTTATATTTAATATTTTTAATAGCTTGAGCTCTACGATATTCTTGCAAAGAAAAGCAAAGAAATAATGTGAATTTTAATAATGAAGCATTTACTTAATGCATAATATTTATTTCCAAACATATTTATCTGTTTCTGAATTTATCTATTTATCTTTTATCTATTTCAGAATATCAAATAAAATGTTTTGCTCCCTTGTCTTTATTACTTAAGGATAGAAAATCGTTAATTTATTGACATAGCCTGCAATCGAGTATGTAAATAAATATAATTTTAAGTTAAACAATTTAATATTTAATAAATATATTCTGCATAAAATGAAAGATAAATACAAATAATTGAAGAGAGATATAAAACAAAATAGCTTACACTAGTTATCTTTTTATTGGAATTTACGGCAGCACGATTTAAATTTTGAGAACGCAAGATTGGATCGACAGCAGCTACGCCGACGAGAGTAAGTAAATCAGCCATTAAAGCTGACTTCAGTCTAACATCTAGTGGTGAATCGCATCCCAATGAAGGAGTTAAATTTACTTCCAATAGCCACGGCTTCAGCGTATCATCGATTAGTATATCGAAGCCAAATAGCTCTAAAATAAAAATATATAAATGTGATATATATGTATAATAAAATATTATACTTCTACTTTTATATCTTCTTATCAAATAACGTTTATCACAAATTGTTTCTTTATTGTTATTCAAAATAAATTATTACCAAAACATGTCTCAGGATGTTTCACGAATTGCTTCAAGCCACTGACGATTCCAGATGCAGTGGCAAGAATTGACTTTATGATAATATCTTCTATTCGCTGCATAAGCGATTCCGTATCTTGACCCATTGAGCGTAAATGTCTAAGTAATGCCGACAATGTCCATTTGTGTCCTACATCCTCGGCATCAGGATCTTCACTCCTAATCAGATATAGATATTTTTATGTACAATTTTTTGTAACAATTTTTTATTCAGTTGTACATATATGTTATACAGTATAGCATATATAGCAATTTATATATGTCTATAAGTATGCTAAAGTAAATTTAAATAGAAAATTGGAAATATTTTTTATATGTACATTGTATACATATACTGCCGTCGAAAAGTTTCCGGACAATATACCCTACACTTGTCTTCTCGCGTCTTCTTGAGA